CAAATAACAAATAACAGTAAGATTTGTACTTGCTGATCTGTTCTGCAACAGATCATATCCAGGCTTAACTTTATGCCATAAAATGGGAGATAAGAAAAATAAATAACACGAAACTTTATATGTAACATCACAGCATCTAGGCACTGGCCTGCATGAGTTTACAGCTTCCCTTGAGAGCCTAAGCACTCTGCATCCTGCAATCTCCTCACACTTAAGCCTTCAGCAGGAAATATCCGTCCCCTCTTGTGGGCAGTATGGCCCACAGCTGTATTATATGGTGATCCATGGGTAGCAGGTTGTGAAAGTTGTTCCTTCTCTCATGGATAAAAACAGTTTCTTAAAAAGATTGTTGCTTCCTTGTGAGGACTGAAATATCCCAGAACACAGATCTTACATTGTTTGTTATAAAGCTTTTAAAGAAAACAGAGAAAGCCTTGAAAAGCTTAGCAAGGCTCTAGGGACACAAATTCAAACAATTTTTCTGGAATTCAAGGAGCAAAACCTCTGTGCTTTGTTTTGAAACTGTACTAGCAGTACAGATAATTTCCCATCTACAATATATGTGAATATATGTTAAATATGACTTAAGTTCCTGCTTTGTTTTTTTTTTTTCATATAGTATTTTCCTCATTGATTTGACAGCAACTTAAGCAAGGAGTTCTCATAGTCTGTATATCAGTTAGCTCTGTAAATATGACATAATTTGCATTGAGGTGCTAAGATGAACTCACACACCATAAGAAGCAATATGGTCATGGTAGACTACTCCCTGTATGAAAAGCCTAACCCTCAAGGCTTTCTGCTGTGAGAAGAAATCACTGTGCTCAGAAAAATGATCAACAGTTGTAAGATTTCTAATAACTGCTGAAAAAAAGTCTGGTTTTGTAATCAGTTGTCTTTAACTGTGGGTGGCAGCAGTGTCCAGGCAGAGGGAATTTTTGGAAGCCTCCCCCAGGGCCCTGACCTCCTCTGAATGTTTCTGGAGGAGGCAGCATTAATTGCTGCCCCAAGACTGGGAGGCCGAGCTCACAATAGGAAAACACATTAGTTTGTAAATGAAGGATTAGTTCAGGAAACCTTACTAATAACCTAGTTCAGTAGGTCCATAATCACCACAGTATGATGGTGAGTAATTTGCAGTGTTTGTAAGTGTGAGTTCAGTGGCCCTCTAATTGAATCAGTTTCCTATTCTGGATAGCTGTGCTGATACTTGGAATCATTCTGTAAGATCTTTAAATAATGTTCCATGTGTCACAGCACATGTGGCATTCCTGACTTCCACTTCTAGCTTTCCTCATTTGGACGATTTATGGGCTTGTGTAAAACATTCTTGAACATAAGTGAGTACCTGCTCTTTTGCTGATTCATACTCCCTCCATTGTAAGCAAAGTTATGGCCTCAGAAAGTCTCCATTATTCATAGTCTTTGCTTGCCTTGAATCTGAATTTGGTGGAAAGGGCATAGCTTTGAAGAGATTTCCAGCTCAAACTGATTTTTTCATATTTCATCTGCCTGAAAAGTGATGTGAACATTTTCTGAATAAGCAGGTGGACAAAGTATGACTTTGGGGGCAGAATCATCATTCCCACTTTCCTCCTGGTAAATAATTGCAGGACAACTGGGGAAAGTTGAAATGAGCTGGAAGTGAGGATGTCTCTCACACACTCCAAACACAATATATGCAAAAAGACTTGAGGGTCACCTCTAAAAATTCAAGTTCTGTTTAACTACGCTTTCACATGGTGGTTTCCAGTAATGATTAAAACACACTGACAATGACATTTTCACAAGGGCATTATGAAAGGACAAGGCAGTATATGAAACAAGTATTTCATAGTGAACACCAAATTCCTGCACTTGTAATGAACACAGCATGCAATGAATGATCCACAAAGTACACTATGCTTTCCAGATAAAAAATGCAAATAGATTGTTTAAAAGTGTTTGAGATTTTGAAATGCAGCGAGGGGATTTCCCTCGTCAGCTTTGGAAATCTCAGCCAACCTGCTTGAATCAGGTAGTCTAAATCAACAGTCATGCTTCATAACGTTTCTCCCCAGACTTACAATGGAGCTGACTGTGACACAGGAGGATGAGATGGTTTAGTCTTGGTTTTTCATTGAATCAACTCCTCCTCTTAGTTGGAACTTTGACCTTTTACTTCTAAGACTTGCTGAAATCACCAGACCTTGCAACCTTCTCAAAAGAGCAAAAGAATGAATAATAGTGTAAAATCAGTTTAATGAACTTGAGTAGCAGGGCTAGTTTGCAAAAGCACTATTACCTAAAAATGAGAAACCTAAAGTCAACTGCAAGCTAGATTGTCAAAGTTTCTTTCTTCCTCTGCTGAAAGCAGTTGAAGTGATCTGAACAGGGAAGAGGAACAAACTAAACTGGACTTACTACTCCTCACGCATGGAGGGCTGGGATTTTTTTGTAAGTGCACTATATGACTCATAATCTTCTCATGCAGAGTTCAATGTAAAATGCCCACTGACAGCAGTGGGAACAGTGTGAAATTCTACCCTACAATTTATTGATATGATCTCCCTGCAAAGAACAGAACAAAACCCCAGCTCCCACGCTAGAGAATTCACAGCCTCGACACAGCAAATGGAGGGTGAGAGTTGCAAAAGAGAATGATAAAAGGCAGGGCAAAGACTGTAGTAATAAAATATTATAGTGTCTCACTTGTGGCATATTCTCGCCTTGAGAGTTTTCAACTGTTCTGATTTTAGTTTCATTTTATATGTTTGCCCTAATCAATGGATGGATAAAGTTGTGCATTATCATTTTGAGAAGGACTATAGTTTCTACACAGTGAAATAATTTCAAATCATATTTGGTTAATGAGAAATTCAGCTCTGGATTGACAGCAGTCCTCAAATCCCACATCCTTCCTAGAAACTTATCCTGTGGAAGAGTAAATTTTGAACCCTTGTGCCTACACTCCATAATTTATCCAGAAATCCTGGCTAAAGGCTTGCAAATTGAAAGTGAATCGTGTAGTATTTCTTATCAGAGACAAAAAGCTAATAAAAAGTTTAAAGCTATCAAAGGACACAGAAATGCTTCAGATCCCTTCCTATTTATATTGAACACTAGAATATTAAAGGAGGCACCGGGAAGTGTCAGGAACATTATATGAAGGTATCTGGCACTTGGGAGTCAGTCATTGAACATAAAACACCCCTCAAAAGGAGATGCTGAAACTTAGGACATCCTATCCTATCCTATGCTATCCTATCCTATCCTATCCTGTCCTGTCCTGTCCTGTCCTACCCTATCCTATCCTATCCTACTCTAATCCACCCTATCCTACTCTACCCTATCCTATCCTATCTATACCAGGCCAGATGCCACTTTAAGGTAGACTCTTTGAACATGCAGAACTGTCTGTGAACATCTGTTTTAGCTCATTTACAAGTGATTTAGTTCAGCTCTTCAGCTGTGCTCTTTAAGGGTCAAATGTTTAATTGTGTATAGAGAGCTAGCTTCATTCATTTTCATGAACGTAAGGCGACTTGCATTAATTGAGAACTGGGCCTGACCATAGTGCTCCAAACTATCTCTTAACTTCCTGGGATGGTAGGTAATAGTAAAAGCCTTACAAGAAAATGCTTAACGTCAATGCTATTGTCAAAACTACTAGTGATAGCAGGTTTAGGTTTGTCATGGAGAGACAATTTAAGTCTCGACAATGGAGTCCCTCCAGTAAACAGACTTGGAGGATTTATAATATTATTTTGCTCCTAACTTCCTTTGAAGACAGCTGTTTTCACCCATATCCAGAAAAATCTGATAGATTACAAGTTATGATGGCATTTTTCTATCAGTTATGAAGACATATAGATTATTCTTAACTAATCCAACTCAAAACTTACAAATGCATGATGGAAAAAAATATGCACTTTTTTTTTTGGTTTGCTTTAAGAGATTTGCAATACCTATGGTGATTTAAGACATTTGTAATATCTTGTAATATCTTGTAATATCACCTATGGTGATAGAAGGTCAGAGAAGAAAAGGCTGTTTAATTAATAGTTTTGTTACTGGGATAGTTAACATGCTAACCAGTGAGCCAAATGTGAGATAACTGGAAGAAGAACAATTTTGAAAAATATTTCTACCTTTTTGATTTATTTTTGAAATGACAAATGAAGAAAATAATTCCAAACTATACTTCTTTCTCCCTCTTTTTTTTCCTTATCACATTTATTTTTGTTATGGGTAATTCATGTGGGCATTTTAAGCAAACCTGCAGTTGTCATTTTTCATATGCCTAAATAGTGTAATGTGTAAAAATGGCTGTTTATTATGTGGTGCCTTTGGTCTGTGAAGGGTTACATGTCTGGGAGTGGAGTGTTTAAAGAGCTTGCCAACATCTCATCATTCCCAATTAGTCAGAAAAATTGGCATAACTGTGGCTTAATTAAATTTATGAACCAAAGAAACTTCCTCATGCCTTTGCACATGTTCTTTGTGGAAGAAAAGTGCCCTTTTAAGAATAGCAAGTAAAACATGTTTGCAAAAAGTGGGGGGTTTATTTTTTATTTTGAATTTGTTTCATCACCTTTAAGTTAATCTCTGATCATAAGCATGTGGAAGAAGCTGTGCCCAGCAGTCAGCACCCATACCTAGAATCATCCAATACTGGTCATGGGGATGTGCCCACTTGATGGAGCAGATGATGCCTGACTCAGTGTGCCCAAAGAAGACAACAAAAATATTTAGATCTCTTCCAATATGCGGGGGAGGTGGGGAAGAATGCCTTTCTGACCACAGATTTGGCAATCAGTTCACTTTGTACGTGTGAGTAAAGAACTGCTATATTTGCAAGTGACCCATTTATAACCCAAGGTACTGTTTGTATCCTGGTAATTTTCCATGTCTGTTTTCACCTTTTTAATTAATTTTAGTGATTTGGTGCATTAATGTCTATGGGCAGGGAACCTGAAGACTTCACCTGGTCTCTAAGGACTTGATATCCTCAAGCACTCCTGTAGCAGGAGTTGCACCGCAGGTGGGACTTGGGTCACCTAAGCACAACCATTTAGGAAGTAAATCTTGTCATCAACTCAGTTTACTGTCACTGGAGAAAGGCTAAGAAATATAAATGCAGACAAATCCAAGGGAAACTCGCTCCTTTCTAAGACATTATGAGATGCAGAACAACATGCCACTCTGAGATCCCTGTTTCTCATTTCTGTCTGTATTGCATTTACTTATTCAGGCTAGATGCTTCATTTTTTGATGGCTGATGCTGACTGTCCCATCCTCTTTCTTTTTTCCTTGGTGCTGGGGTAGTCAATGTGCCTAATCAGAGTGACTGATGATCCTTCCTGACTGAACAGTGAGTTAGCATATTTACTCACTTCTTTCTTGTGCTGCACAAAAAGTATTAAGCATTCAAATGACAGTCTATGGAAAATGGGGCCCAATATTCAGGGGGTTCAGCAGCTGAATCAAATATAAAACCTCTCTTTATGGAGCAAATTCTGCTCCTTAGCCACATTACGGTAAACCTGGAATAATTCCATTAACGGTCATGTAAACCAGAAAGGACTTTGGATCAATGTACTTTGCTGGTATTGTTTACATTGCCAGGAGCAACCATATTTTGCTGTTCTTTCTTGTTTGTTTGTCTTACAATAAAAATCATTACACCTCATAACTCAGTGTTTTCCAGTTTAGCTCAGCGAATGAGAGGGCTGGTTTCATTCAGATGGATTGTAAGAAAAAAAGGCAAAAAAAGTCATCATTAACAATACAAAAAAAGAAATATGGTGTATTTCTCATTAATGATTTAAAGTACACTTTCACTAAGGAAGTGGGAGTATTTACTTCTGCCTAGAAATTTATAGTTCATTCCACATGTTAAAATGCTACTTGCATTAATGAAGCATAAAGTTCTGATCTTCTGTCACTATGTAACCTTCATTTCTTGTGTGTATTATTTTTAATGGGACTCACTGTGTTCTCAGGAAGTTATGTGTTAGGCTTTCTACCTTCCGTAAAAAACATAATTAAAAGTACCATCAACGTAAGAAAATACTTCCACCCTCATCTGAGCAGACTTAAATTGTGTTGCTGATGGTATTTACAAAATATCTGTGGCAAGTACAGTGTGTCTGTGCTAAAGTCAATGAAGCATACAATGAACAGGACATAGTCACATGAGGCTTGAATTCATTCCAGTTTGTACTCTGGAAATATTTTTTTTAACTCAGATGATTGCAGTGACCAACATGTGATTCAGAGCGAGGATCACTCGGGTCAGGCCTGCAGAAGCTAGTGGCAGAATGACTGGAAGCAGTTCAGACCAGGAATGTTTCTGTGTGGTAGTTCAGAGCGCGTCACATGCAGATAGATACGATTTTTGAGAGAGTGCCAGTGAAGCTGGGGCTGTTTCATGCTGACATACTAACAAGGTGTTCTGTTAAATGGCAAGCACTCCTGAGATAACAGCTGAAATCTGGATACCCCTTGACACCAAAGAGAGGGTAACTGTTCCTTTCTCTCAGTTGTCTCCAGAGGTTTGCTCCCAGGTGGGGTCTCTCCTGTTCACCTCTCAGGGCAGAGATCAGTTTCGCAGACATTGACTGGTCTCAACCTGCGAAGAATTTCCTTGTGCTACTAAATATATTTCATATGTACCTATGTTATACTAATGTCCATAACTATCTAAATAAACAGCATATTTAAAGGCACAATGATGTATGAATTATGACAAGAGGGGTCCTTAGGAGCAATGCTGTACATGCATTAGACCACACCTAAGTCTAAGCTGAGTGCCATGTGTGTACGAATTGCATGTTAGCCCCGGTTTTGTGCACCACTGCTTATCCACTGTCATTTTATTCTCTGTGTTGCGCAGACTGCTGTGCAACATATCCTTCCAGGGAAGAATGATGAAGTGTTTATCAGAGAGAAGCCGCCGGTCATGTCCCTGGATACATAGCAAGTGCAGAAACAGTAACACAGTAATCTGGGAACAGCTTTGGTGTTTGGATGCCCCAAGCTGAATTTGCAATAGAGATGTTTTAAACCTCGTCTCTCTTTCTGACTAGTCCAAACTATTCTGGGTGTTTCCTGAAAATAGGAATTGAAGCCATTGAAACCATTTCTCTAGCAACAGTGGCTTTTTTTTTTTCCTTTCAGAGGCATACTCTGCTGTCCCATCAAATGTCAAGGGTGAAAAATCTTCACCCACATATATGATAGAAAGAGCACTCAAGTCTAGCGTTTAATATAATTATTTAATAGCTCTGCCACATTAGTCAGAACTTGGATTTAGAAAGATTGTTAGTATTTAAAATTAAGTTGCAGCGTCCTTGTCATTATATTGTCCTTCTGAAGGACGCCACACTGTAGGTATGGAACATATAAATAAACACCACTTATGCTGGAATATTTAGGGAAGTAGAACTAAAGCACAGATGTACTGACGCCTTCACCTTTCTGACAACTGGTTGTGAAAAAGAAATACTCATAGGCAAAACCCACAATGATATGGGGGTAAAGAAAGATCCTCAAGCCACGCAACAGTGTTAAGTACAGTAACACTGTGTGCCAGATGGCAAACAGGCAGATTCCCTGTGAGATGGGCTGTCTGCTCCTGATGAGGTATCTGAGAGGACAGAGCCATGACACTGATACGTAGCAGTGTAAGCAGATGAACGCTGGCTCCTGCTACTCATATGCAACTAAATTTATAGAAAACTAAAATCATTAGGAAAGTAACGGCAGAGGGTGGCAGCCTGCCTTTGTGACAGAAATGCCTCACACAGGGCACTCTACTTAAGTCATTGCTTATAATGAACCTTACTTACAGTGCTATTCCTTCTCCTTCATTTAACTCATTTAAGTAACTTATGTGCTGCATTACCTTGTGACTAAGAGTGAAATAATTTTATTTAGAGGATAGTTCATTTTTGAAGACTGTCAGAAGTTTTTTTCTTCAATACTGTCCTGCGTCTTTTCTCCCCAGCCCTCTCTTTCAGCACATACAAAAGAAAGGGGTTGAACGGCATAAGGTGTACTCAGATTCAATGGAAATATCAAGGATTTGGATGCCTCACCTTAAAGCACAAGATGGGAATGGAACATTTTGTTCTAGGAGAAATTCATTATCATAATTCCCTGTTGTTATCTAGTTAACCAGAGCATTCTTTATGAAGAAACAAGAACAACTCTATTTTTTCATTAAATCCTGAAGCATATGGGGCTTGAAAGAAGCTGAACAAAAAAGGTAAAAAGAAAAGGGATGACACTAGATCTGTTCAGCAGTGTGGCATGGCAGCTCTATGATGCTATTGCTGGACTCTGCATTTGGTAGCAATGAAGAAGCCAACTGACAATACACTACTGTAACCATGTTTGTATTATATTCACAGGGTTGTGTTCACTCTAGTGACTAATTTACTAGAACAGCTGTTTTTTATGAAGAATCTGGTGTAATTTGTCAGCTAGTGTTATTGAGCCAAGCTTTTCCACCACTTTGTCCACCATTTAAGCACTGTTCATGAAAGAGTACAACAGCACAGAAATGGGACAACATGAGGAAATACTGAGTGTTTGTTGGTAACAAAAGTCTTTTTGTCACTGCTTTAAAAAAATGGTTTTCTAGACTTCATAAGCAGGAAGTTCTAATTGATAGGAGCTGTTGCTGCAACATTTTAGTCGATTCTGTGGATAGTCAATAACTAAAATCTGCTGGCTTGAGTTAGTTTATATTTTTGTCAGACATGCATCAGTAGCATCTGGCATGTAGAACGTAAAGAAAATTTAAACTCAAAACATCTGAGATTTATAATCACTCTGCTTTACTGGTTATATTTACCTGGATATTTACCCTAGTTTTGCAAAGATATTAAAAACTCCATATGGAAATGAAGCGTTCACTGGATCGTAGACGTATTTGTCCGGCTTATACTAACAACTGCTGCTTTTACACATGCATTTGAAAGAGGTGTTTGAAAGGGGTGAAGAAAATAAGGTTGTTCCTGAAGTTTTTTATTACTAATGCTGGAAGAGATGTTAGTACTGTCCATTTAAGACTTCACACTGTTGTCTTCAATTAAACTATGATACTACCACTATGGATAATGAGATCTGGTCCTTCACAGAGTATTATATTCATTTTTACTTGTATGTTTAGATTTCTTTACAGCAATCCATGAATCTACAAAATCACTTTAACAGGATGCTGGGGAAAAAAATGCTGTGTATTCATGGCAAACAAGTTCATACATCTGATTTAGCCAGCCACCTGGAAACTTTTGCCAGGTATCTTTCAGACACCACTGGAGACACAGTCTACAGATATCTGTCCCCGTGCCAGAGTGCTCCAAGGTAAATGGAAATATCATTAGTCAAAGCCTGAAGTTTTCTGTGATGATGTTCTTATTTTGATAGATGTCTAGGCAGGTGTGAATCAGGATATTATGTTGCAACAAAAGGTGCTGGGAATAGTTTAGGCTGAATTCTGGCAAGTTGAAATGAAGATTTTATGACTATTTCATCTAACATCTTTGTTGTGAGTAAATGCAAGACTTCAAACACTTGCCATGTAGACGGCTGTATTTAAACTACCAACCTGGACTCTCTTTAATAGCCATAAGTCTGTGGTTCTGGAGCCCTATTAAACTTATCTCAAATTAGATGTCTAAACACATCAAATAAGCTATACTTTAGAAATGCCACTTACAGCCCATTTGGTACAAAAGGGGTCTGGATCACCAACCAGATTTTGACATTAATACAGAAAACATTAAACATTGGTAAGATGACCCTAATTCCCCTTGATGTGTGATGCCCCAGACAGACCATTTAGACATCCAGAAGCTCTGCATCAGTATTTTGAGGAAAGCTATTTGAAGAATATTTATTTATTCATGTTCTGAACATGTGTATGAAGTTCTGAAAGTCACAACATACAATCCTGTGACAGAAATAATTTAAGACTTGAGACAAAGTGTTTTAACAAGCACAAAAGAAAAAAAAGAAAAAGAGAATTAGACTGTTAAAGCACAGGTTGGATGAGGCTTCAAGCAACCTGATTTAGTGGAAGGTGTCCCACTGTGACAGAGGGCTTGGAGCTAGTTGATCTTTAAGATCCAGTTCAACACAATTATATGATTTTATTATGGTTTTAAAGTAGAATTTCCCTCTGAAGCAGGAACATCTACAAGCTGAAATCTCAAAAGAGAATAAGGAATTGCAGTTCAGCTCTGGAAAAGGACAGAACCTTTCTTTTCTTATGAAAACTATAGAGAAAAAAAAATAGTACATAACATTGCAGCTATTTTTCTCCACTATATCCACTGATCTAATAGGATATGTTACCTTTTCCCAGGAACATGGTGTTACAAGAACTACAGTCAAATTAAGTTATTTCTCCAGTTTTAAAAACATGAATATTGAGGAGAACAAGTGGATACTCTATCTGGCTGAGCATTTTGCCAATTATCTATTGATGGAAATGAGACTGCGGGGAAAATACGCACTTAGCATGATTTGGCCCTGAAACAGCACGAAGAGCCAACAACTGGGACATGACACAGCCAACACAACTCTTTCCAAAGAAAGCAGTGTATTAATGGCGTACCTTTCATGGAAGGTTTTCAAAGTGCTTTCAAAAAATTCATTAACTGAGCCACTCACCACCTAACATGATTGGGTTAGACTGAGCCAATTTCTTCAACACTGGAATATAACTGCTATGCTGATAGCATGGGGGAAATGCATGAGGCCTTAATCCTGTTTCAGTAGTGATGATGGGAATTTGCAGTTGTGTTCTTCTGGAAATGGCTCAGATATAGAGACTGCCTGTAACCTTCCCTGTAACCTGGGCCCCAGTTCTCAGAGGCTGCTCTCAGCTGTACGAAAAGAGGATAAGGCTTACTGAGTTGGCACTTTTCCAGAAATGAAGATAGTTTTCATTTCTTCTGGGGAAAAGAAATAAAAGTGCCTAGACATTGACTGCAACTAGTCACAGCCTCCTGTAGACTGCTGTCAAGAATTAGCACTTCTGTGTCTCCTACAAACACAAAGCCTATAAAGCTTGTGCTGGGAACTGCTACCAGTAAGTTCCTCCTTGGGAAGTACCAAAAAACACTGACCTAATCCAGACCTTATCTGAGCTGATAGGATCACAACAGAAGTTGCCATATTTGCAAGTTTGCAAACTTACAAGTAAAATCTTGCTATCATAAGTAATCCTGACTTTTTTTCCTGAATAAAAGTAATGAAGATGCACAGAAAAACTGCTGTAGTTTTCTGAAGGTCAAGGAAGATTTGCTAAAATGTATGAATTGTTGTTTTTGCTGTACAAGCTGATCAACAGCAAAATTCTGGTCAAAATGCCTACATGCCAGCTATGATATGTATTATCCTGAAGGCAAAGCAGGGCTGGATAAAGTTTTGTTCCAGGAAGAGAGTTGTCTCATTTGGTTGATTTCAATTAGCAACTTACTTGAAACATTGTTGACCTTTCTGGCATAGTATACTTTTAAGTAAAAGGTAGGATACCGGTCTAATCCACTCAGCTCCAGAACAGTTTAACCATATCCGTAGGGCACACATCCTGTGACTTCATTTAATCTTATGATCAGGGGAGTGTCACTTGATGTGTTAGGCACTGAAGACTTAGAAGGCCCTTGACCTTTTTCACAACTATAAGACTTCCTTTTTCTCAGAACAAAAAGAGTGATGACGAGAAGTGATTTTTTTTGTGGTATTGTTTTTCATGGCATTTTTTTCATCCAATGAACACAAAGCAGATGAGAACTAGCCATAATTGCACTCTTAGAAACACATTCTAAAATGAAGGATTTTAAGAATTCTCAAAATTATTTGATGATGCTCCAGAAGCAAACTGTTATTGATCACTGCTGCATTTCATTCAGATAACCACTGCTGCTTAGTGAGCTGAGCATTTACACAACTGGTAGAGTATTGTTGCTATTTGTCACAATTTCTGCTATTCAAAGCAGCTAAGTGCTCTTCAGGAGTAGCGTTTTCTTTGATGTTACTTCAAATTGTAATATTTATAGAGAAATTATATATGTGTGTATATATATACACATACACATAATAGCTATTTGTAACATTCAGCCATTGTAACTGGTGAATTTCTTGCAAACTTCTAAGTCTTTAATTTAAGATATCTGGTAACATAAAAATAATATGACCTTTGTAGTGATTAACTAGACAGCTCTCACCATCTATGTGATTCTGTAAAGCATTGTATTAAGCACAAATATACATATTCTCTGCACAGAGGTACTTTCATATAAACGAAATGTTTCAGCCATTGTTCAGAAACTGAGCCTAAATCCAGGAACAATACATGCCATTGAGTTCCCTCAACATAACACTTGCTCTGTCATCTAGAAATTTTAGAGCTATTGGGAAAACAAACAAAATGAAAAAGTTGTTTCTTCCTGTGTGTCTTGTTTTCTAACTCTAAAATTCAAAGTACATGCCCAAATAAGCACTACAGTATGGGCCATCCCTTAAGTCAGTGAATGTCTCGGAAAACGTAGACGTTCTCCTGGGTTCCAGAGTACCTGGGACACAAAGACCTTCTGAGTGCCAGAAACAGAGACTGAGGTTTAGGGCCCTTCCCGCCCTCAAACCTTTATAAAGACTAAGAATGTATGTATACATTTTAAATCTGTCTCAGTCCCAATAGTTGCCATGAGTGGTGCATTTTTAGCCTGAGAAATTACGTTTATGGATTTACACCATTAATGAGTCTATTGACCACTTTCAACTAATTTTAAGAGTTAGGTCGTGTCTCAAAGCCCTCAATAGCTGTTACAGGCTTAAGCAAAGAACGACCCATGGCAAGGGCACAGATGGAACAAAGGCGGAGGAACTCATCCAGAACATTTGAGTTGCACAGTTCTGGTATGGCAAAGTAAGAGGTAAAATCTGAATTACCTATTTTATTTTAACATTTAGACTTTTAACTACGATGCTGACATCTTTAAATATCTGTCAAACCTTTAATTTTGATTAAATGATTTAAAATACATTGCAAGGGTCATGGTTTTGTGGTTTTTTCCCTTACATTTATTTAAAGATGCTATTTCACTGCTGATAAAAACACAGTGATCTGACTCTGCAAATTAATCTTAAACATAAAAGTAAATATTCTTATAAAAAGCTTCCTGTAAAAGACTGTCTGTACAGCTGCTTTTTCATTTTAGTGGTAATCAATCAGGTACATAAGAAATCTCAGACTGTTTCCAGGCTTCATCATAACACTGAGTCTAGTCGTAATAGACCCTGTAATGATTTACTCACTCACTCATTCACTCATTCATTCATTCATTTGTCCATTCATCTGCTGAGACGACAGTAGTCATGTGGCTTAGACCACACTTGTTCTAGCAGCAGCATATAATCTAACCGATTAAAGAAAGTTATTCAGCATTTTTATGCATCATTTGGGAAGTCTTTCAATTTCTGTATTATTTTGAGATCTGTATCTGCAGTCTAGATTCCTATTGATGTTAGGAGACATTCAGCATTCTGAAAGAGATTGTATTGTATGCTGTGTTTTCTTTTATATATCCTCAAAAGGTCCAATCTTATTTCTCCCAAAGGCCAATTTAAAATTTTGCATGGTTTGACCTAAGAAATATCAATCTTTTCTATAGACATAAAGAGGTATTACATTTGAAAGGTCAAGGTATAGCTCTGTCCTACATTGCTATGCTTACCTTTGTCTGCTAATACGAGCCTCATACTTCAGTTTTCATGTTATTTTTGGCTATGTCTAGCTATGTCTGGTCAGTGCTATGTAGAGACTTGACACAAGAGTGAATCCTAGAAGACCTTCATTGGCATAATTTTATGGCCAGCAGAGCATTTTTGCTGGTACAGCTATATCAATTCCAATATGAGACTTAGCTTGTGTGGCACTATCTGGGCTATCTGATGTCCCAGCATAATGCAATGTAAATACAACCCTTTCATATCTGTAGGCTCAGCACAGACACATTACCTAAAAAAAAATCTTAGTAAGGAGAAAATTATTAAAAATGTCCCATTCAGAAAGCAGAATTTAAGATACAATTACATGCCAGAATTTAACTTGCTCATGAAATCGCCTTGGCAAGTATGAATGATGCTTTGTATTTCATTAAGCAATCACCATCATCTCATATGGTCTTTGCCCCAGTTGCTTTCTGGCAGACAGATACTTGGGGAATTTGAGGGGACAGAGAATGCACATTGTAAGCAATGTGCATTGTAAGCAAAGTATTCTGCTGTTAGATTTCAAGACTCCATTGAACAGAGATCTTGTAATAACACAGTACAGATTACATAGGGTTGGCAGTTTATTACACAGGAAAGGGTATGCTTTTGCAAATAAGATCATACTATTGTTAGGACTCTGTTCAGAGGCATGGCCTTTCAGAAAGAGGTTTAAGCAGACATTTTTCATTTTCTCTTTTTTTTTTTTTTTGGTTTTTGCAATGGCTGAATTATATCAGCTGAAATGAAAAAAAAATAGTCTAAGGAGAAAACTTTTTCCTATTAGTTTGGGAAAACAATAAAAATTCACCCCTTGATAGCTTAGGGTATAAACTTTTGGAAAATCTTCTTACCTAAACAACCAATGTGATGAAATTGTGACTATTTGATCACATATAGGTAGTATTCTTGTTTTTTAAAAATGCTATCGGAACTGGCTTAACTATACCATTCAAAAATATTCACGTTATATGTCAGGTTGTGAAGAAATCCTCACAGTTTGTTACATTTTCCGGTATGTTTTATGTAATAACACTTTTTGTTCCATTAATAGTTTTACAGGAACAAGTTGTTTTATGTGGTGGTTTCTTAGTTGTTTCCTCAAATGTTAGGCACATCACCCTTCTGAGTCCCCACTGAGTATCTGCTTGCTGCTATTGCAGCATTGTAACAAAACCGAGTTGCAACAGTTGGATTTGACTTTTAACACACATCTGCTTCCAGAGACGTGCATTCAGTGCTTTTTTTTTATTATTATTTTCTTTTTTTTGTTGTTGTTTTTCTTCTTTTTCTTCTTTATTTCTGGCAAAACCAGTGTTTGACCTTTAGAGTAGGAACTCACAAACCTGTGCTGGCCAGAGGCCAGAGCTCTTGATCCAACATAGAGGGCAGCTGCCAGGCTGCTGGGGAAAAGGAAATGACATGATCACACTGCCACCTGTTTCCAAAGAGCTGTGCTGGCTTCTTCACCAGGTCACATTGCTGTAGCAGGGCCAAATCATGCTGGGTGCTGAGCTGACTAGCTTTCCAGCACCCTGGGTGCCTTAGGCAGAGCCTGCCTCGAGCTGGCCGAACAATTCACACTGCTTGTAGGAAGTATGATGCAATCTGTTAAGAATAGTAATTTGGAAATGTCAGGAACTGGTTTTTATATGTAGATGTCAACAACGACAAAGGGAAAGAGGTCAGTGATGACAAAGAGAGTTTCAAATAGTTGTCCTAAACCACAAACCAATTTCAACAAGCTTCATAGTTTTTGCTCATACAACAACAAGTTTTAAGACTGGGATTTATTGTGTGAGCTCAGAACAACTTTGTATCATGAGTGTGCTGAAATGAAACAATGCACAGGTGATGTGCACTTTCTACATCCATGTCTGATGCATCTGACTGGCTGATCAGGAATGAAATAAGTACATCAGGCTTCATTTGCCAGACCAACAGCATTTCCTATGAGCTCCTTTCCATGAGGCTAGGAACAAGCTGTGGCTTTTGCAGTCACCTCTTGTGACAGTTTTATCAGAAAAGTGGTTGATGAAGAAAGAATGGGCCCTAGTTGGTGGTTTTAATGTTAAAACTGTCCAGCTAACATAAAGCAGAAAAAATGCTTTTTAAGTGGCCTGGACAAAGTTGGTATTCTGGAGTTATGCTTGCTGAGAAGTAGCTGCATCTAGAGCTGCATAGAGCAAGGTAAAAGTAATGTAAGAGAAGGATAAGATGGGATGTGCAGTGGTTCTCCTACTTCATGGTTTGGACCACTCATTGCACCACACAGTTCCAAAGTGGGAAAGTCTGAAGGCCTATAGATAAATCTGTCTTTGGTCTCATCTACATTGGAAACACGAGGAATTCCCCAAAAATGCTGCACTAACACGTCTGCAATGTGCAGTGCTGGCAGGAAGTAGCTGGTGGAACAGAAGAGCTATTGCTGCACTGCCAGCTGCAGTTTGCACCTTTTCTAACCCTGCATAGAAGCTCAGCTATCAAGATTCTTCTTGCAATGCCAGTAGCTGGTCTTGTTTGCAATGTACAGGCACAGACACCTTTGCTGCTACTGTTTGGCCAGCACCACATAAGCAGTAGAACTCCCCCAGACTGTCAGAAATAAGGCCATTTGACTTGAAGGCTTCCCTTCAAATGAAACATTTAATGCTAAAGCAGAATGAAATAACATTGCTTGCACATTGCTGGCTTCCACCTTCCACAGCATACACACATACACTTTTTGACTCAACAACTGTGCTGACGAAGACCCATTATCTGTGCAGCTCTAGAATTTAGACTGATACCCACAAAGGACTAGGGGTACACCCATGCATGCACTGCAGGCAGACACAAGCAACCTCTGTCCACACTCTAAGCTCAAAAAGAGCCCCCGTGACTATAGCTTAGTGAGTCGCTGAACCTCAGCAAACATGCTCTGCTGAGATGAGCAAACATGGATTCTAACTGCAGGGCAAAACATTTAAAAACATGTTTACTGCTGTCACATTTCTTGGTATACAAACAAGTATTTTTCAGTACCATTTTCTGTAGCATCTATAGATCCCTGGCTCCTTCTCTATTAAGTAGAAAACAAAGATATGAGAAAGATGGTCTCTACCCATTAGAGTTTGTGATCTAGCAAAAGGCAGACACAGCCAGCAGGGAGAAGAAACAAAATAAGCTGTTATATTACACCAAGGCCACCTTTGGTTTGGGCAAAATGGTCCAATTATTTTCCTGCACTTGCTTGGGGATGATGCAAAAGAAGTCTTTTCAGGATTTAAAATCATATATAAAAACATTGATGTGGCTAGGCAAAGCATTAAAAGCAACACTCCCTTTTTTGCCTTGGTAATTGAAACTTATTCCTACTCATTTTAACATAGCTTTAGTGGAATTAGAAAGTAAAATTTAATGTGTATGTGCACTTCCAAGACAGTAGAGCAGATTGTGGAAACTGCACCATCAAAAGTTTTCTGAAGCAGAACTAGCCTTTCCCCTTTATGCCTTGGTCTCTCATTACACATATGTTATGTTACATATTAACTGGAGTTGTGGGTGATTATGGAAAGCTGCTATCCTCTGGGTCAAAAGAGTGGATGTTTGTGGGAGATGATGCCTGAAGCTACTCATAGAGGGCATTACTACCCAGTGACATTAATTTTTATTTTCTTTTCAAATCAGTGAATATTCTTATGCTTACAAGCTAAATTCTCTCTGGAAAAAGTGAACAGTGGTTTAGGTTGTATAACTCTCAGCAACTAGAAAGGGCTGGGTAGTTCCAAATGGCCAGTGCTCAATACTTTCTCAAAATGGTCTTCAGTGAGATCCTTGAAAAGCCACAGACAATCAAATCACAAGTTAATTAAAAAGAAACCAACAAAAACCCTCCACCTAACTGAACATGGATTGTATTACATCCTTTAAAATAAAGGTAGAAGTAAATGACCATATGCTCCTAAATTGCTTGGATATTGCAGGGTTAAACTCCTGAATACTTATCACCAACACCTACTTCTCCAGTGCCCTCTAATCCTGAGCAGACATCTGCTTTATTGCTCTCCTTTTATTGCTCATGGCAGCATGGCACAACTGCTCTGCTTGCCTTCCAGGCAGATTGATACTAGTTGTTTTGGGAAGTTGTCAGTGGGGGAAGCATT